GATGGTTTGGGGAGCTGTTTGGGTTGGTGGGAGCTTAGTGGAGAGCATTGGCAACATAAATTTTGCTAAATACGTCAAAATATTGGAGGAAGGACTCTGGCCACTTTATTCCTCGGGTTTTGTGGACAAGAACACAACGTTGTTCCACGAAGATGGAGCACCGTGTCACACTGCTAGAAACACCCAAAAGTGGCAGGAAGAAAATGGTATCCAGAAGTTGCCCTGGCCAAGCCAATCTCCTGACATGAACCCCATCGAAAACCTCTGGGCCACACTCGACCGGCAAGTCAAGAAACAACCAAAAACCAACTTTGAAGTGCGGTCTACTCCAAGTTTTGAAGCAAGAGTGTGCGAAACTCCCACAATCTAAAATTGACGAGATGATTCTCACAATGTCCCAAAGGATCAACGAACTCCACGAAGCGAAAGGAAGATCTAGTGGATATTAATTAAATTATAAATATATCAATTCATGTGAATTCTTTCTGAAAAGGTGGTGTCTATTTACTTGTGACCACGCTGTGTATAAATAAATGTCAAAATGTGTTTTTTTTTTGTGTGTATATATATCTGTTCCTTATACATTTCCACATTTCTTGATCAATCAGCACCAAACTTGACACAGTGATACAGGATGACATGAGGAAGATCATGATGGGGGTTGGACTACTCATCTGATTTTATATTGATAGAATTCTTGAAAACACTATGTCTTTCTTTTCAGTATTGGTACCTTTATGAATTTGTATTGCACTTTTAAGGTTTATTATGTTAAGAAAAAAAAACAGAAGCATAAATTTCCTATCCTTTCTAACAAACAAACTTATATTTCACCCGTCCAGCAGACAGATACTCCAGCTAGTAATGTCATATAAAGCAGCTTAACAAAAGAAAATCTATATGCACTACACGTTAACAGTTTTAAGTAAATTAATTAAACAGAAAAAAATTTACCTGAAAATAACTTCAAGTGGAGCTTGATCACTGCCTCGATTTGTACACTCAAGGAATATAAGTAATGTATAATTGAGCAGCTCTTTAGTAATGTTCAATTTATGAAGATTGACTTTCTCTTGGGCCAATGTAAACTTTCTTGAGATATTTTTCTGAAAGACAAAAGTCACTTTTTTTATAAAGGTATTTGAGTGTAGAATATACAGAAATGGAAATAGTTATGGAAATGCACAATGATACACATTATAGGGGTCACAAACAATGGGTAATTGCAACTAAACTGTTAATGCATCATTAATAAAATACATTATTCCATTTAGCCAAGTTGTTTGACCTTCTCAATTTCCATAAAAACCCATATAACCTTAATGATATTCATATTAGGACTCTGGGCAGGCCAAAATACAGTTGTAAGTGTTCCATTGGTCCCTTTTCTTTCAGATATTTCACTAAATTATATGTATGGTTGGGATTACTGTCTTACTGGAAGATGAATCTCTGTTCAAAAGAAAACATCTTGCTCCTAAGGGAATGACATAATGGGATTAAAACCTGTTTGTTACTGTCAGAAGTTAGGTGTCATTGATCTTGTAGAGACTTCCAACACAACTGGCTGACATGCAGCTTAAACTTATACTGGCCATCCAGCATGCTTCACTGTAGTATGTACATTGAAGTGATCTTTTCTCCTCTCTTACTTTAAACAAAGCATCATTTAATGATGCCAAATAATTTAAATTTGTATACATCTGAAAGAGCATGCTTCTCCAGCTGACATCCATTCCAGCCTTTTGGTTTGGTTTTTGAGTAGCCATACATCCACTCAGACCACTTAATGGTTACATTTTCTTACTATTCTCAAGAGAACATTCACACCTGTCCTTACAACTAGGTGATTTGTAAGATCTGTATCAAATTATTATGCATCACTTAAATACCATACCCCGAGTTGTTTAGCATCACTTAAGTACCATACCCTGAGTTTTTAGCATCACATGAATACCATACCCCGAGTTGTTTAGCATCACTTAACTCTCTCAACATGGGCTCGGTCAATTTTACTGACCACATGACCTCTTTATACTCGATTAAAGTCTTTATAGATTTAATACTTCTAGCTTTAAATATAGTGTATGTATATTTTCACGAAATGTGGTAGTATTTCAGTTCATATTATAAGTCTTTCACATATAAAAAAATAATATTTTTTGTGAAGTATTTTTAATAAAATAAAATAAAGATTTGTCATTAATATAATGAGCATTTGTTTTGAATAGTCCGTGTGCAAAGTAATTTTTATGTTAAAATAAAAAATACTTTTCCTCATCTCAAAAATCTCAGATTTCCTTTGTGTAATCTGAAAACATCCTAAATGCATTTCAAACTTTTTTTTCAGTAAAACTTTATAGTTTATCTGTTACTTTCTCTATCCTATCTCAAAACAGGATCTGTCAATTCTACCGACCTCGTAACCACCAAAAAATAATCGAAATTAACCTAAATTACCACTTTTTTCTTTCTAGAATGACTTCATATTGTAACATAAAACTACATTAATTTATCCTAAGTAGATCTAAGTTCGTAACAGTATACATCTGTCTATAATTAGATTTTATTGTTTTATTGCCCTTTGAACCATGTTTAACTACTATCTGTGCCATTATAAGTAGTAAATCACTCAGGGAACATGCAGCTCACGTTATGCTTTCGAATTACATTACCCATGAGCTGCTTGCATGTGTGTACCTCTTGAACCATTTTAATTATATTATTATTATTACTTATTTTACCTAATCTAGTTTTAAATAACTTAAAAAAATCCATATTTTTAGGTTTTAGTTACTTTTATAATAATAAATAAAGTACTTACCCAATCTTCTTTTTTCTTGCTCTCAGGTTTTCGAGGAGAGTTAACCCTAATTTTATATTCTATAGATAGTAATGCATTTAATAATTTTTATTTAATTAAATAATGCACCAAAGAATATAGACTAATAACATGCAGAAAGTAGACAAATTTACTTACCTCTCAAAATTTTCCTGGCTTTCTAACTATACGACAAGAGCCATTACAAATTCATCCAAGCTAGTTGTTAACTTTCCCATGGGAATGTTGCTCGTGCTCTGAATGAAACTGACATTTAACGGTTCAACACATAATGTTATACAATACGTCATTTGATAGATGAAAACCTTGACTTTCTATTGGTTATAGGTAATGTATAATGAAACGTAAGCGAGAACTATTAATGAATTGTGAAAAAGAGGATGTGAAAGGTGGGTGTGGCAGGAGGGGTCTGATTTTCTATTCGATAGCTCTGTAACCAAACAAAATTGAAGACTATAAAAATTAGGGTTTGTTTGAGCAATAATGATTTTATAGAGAGTATTTTATGTTTAATTTCGTATTTTTTTTAGGGACGGTGGATAAAATAGGGATGATGACATGCTAAGAGAAAATGTGTTACGTGGGTCACACTAGTGGAAATTCAGAATTTTTTTAAATATTGCCTTGTAGAAGTAAGAACTTAAATCTTGTATACTATTCTAATTGGTATAACATAAACAAAATGTAGTTTAATAAAATTTTG